CGTATAATACACATGCAACACATAGGTATTTAATTTTGTTTAACTATATTATAGTTTTTTAATTGAGAAAAAAGAAAATATTATCTAAATTTTTAAATAGAATAATAGTAGAGAAAAAGAACAACTATATGAGAGAAGAATTAATATTAAGTGTTTTTTAAAATTCTCTTGATATTTTTTTTTAATGTGATTATATACAATTTTTTTTTAAAATACTCCTATTAATTACTAAATATAATTTTTAATTCAACTTTAATTACTTAATTAAAATTTTTTTAATTAAAAATCATTATAAAACTCAAGAGTTGATAAAAAAATAAAAAATTTAAACTTTAATATAAAAAATTAAAAAAAAACCCATGCGTCAAAAGCTAGTTTATTAAAATATCCAAAAAAAAACTTTATTTATATAATAAAAAAGAACAATTTAAAGTCAAATCTATCAAAATAATTCAACTTTGAGTGATATTTAGGTAGAAATTCATAACCTAACAAAATCCATAAAATTGAGACAAAGCTAACTTAAACTTCACAACAATAAAGACAATTAATGTTGGAAATAATGTAGTCTTAGTAATACCATGTCATACTTGAAAATGGACAATTGTCAGAAAAACAAAGTCATATTCATCTATACAAAAGCATAAAATTCCATCACCAAACAAGATTTTCAAACTTCTTTGGCCCCACAATAGCCTTTGATGTTTTCTGTTGCCTTTGATCATTTTCTGCAACATTATATTAGTCCATATCAGCGATAACTTGTCTAGTAAATCACAATAAAGTTTGGATTGAATTTGCAAAGGAACAAGTTTATAGAACTATCGATGGATGAAGAATGTAGTAAAATGAAATTGGAAATAAGACTACCAAATTTTACAACCAAAACCTCCGTACAAGGCTAAAAGAAAGCAATGGAGAAAGGTTCCCTAGCATCTACAATCCCAACTACCCACCATGCCTAGCCTCTAACCACAAATAGAAGAAGAAATAAAGGAAATCCAAAAAGAAAAGAGTTAAAAGAGGAAAAGCATACTGCATGCACACATTTAGAAAATTAATGACAAAAAAATACCCTAATTTACAAGAAAAATGCATTACATACATTATATTCCAAAAAGAACTTAGGATGGAAATAAATGACAAGCACAACACTTAATAAGATACAAAACCAAACACACAAGAATCTAGAATAGATAGATTAAATCAAAATCCTTGGGATGGAACTACCACTCTGACCCACTGCAAGTACAATTGTTCCATGTTAAAACAACCATAAGCACTTGAAGAACATATCCTTTTGTTATCCATTTATGTAGTGAAAACATATATAACATAATAAATGTCATATAAATTATGAAATAACCAAGGACTGGTTTTTGGCTCTAAAATTGTTGATTGACCCTAATCATTTAATCAAATGTTTTCATCTCTTAATCGTTTAATCCATAGACGAAAAAGAAAAAAACAAAACACTTTTGCGTATCCCCATGTCATGCTATATAATTGATTTGGTGACAACAATTCAATAATCTAAAATATAAAATCCTAATACATCACACATGTAAGTCATGCTTCAAGACTACAACAAGCATAAGTGCATTAGAAGATGAAGTTAGAAAAATGAATATGAACATTTTATCATTACAGAACACAACAACTATATTAGTAACTTCCATTAATACAGAGGTTGTTAATGCCTTGATTCAAAATTTAGGATGAAGAAAGAATTTTGTAAAAAAAAAGAGATGACTATATAATGTTGCAGAACCCCTAATTAAATGAAAAAGATAAAAGAAACGATGGTTACTGTTGCCACGTCAAAAGGACCAATTAGCTCAAATGAAATTAGCATTCCAAGTATACATAATGCAATTAGTAAACAATTAAAAGCCTAAATTACAGAGACAAATGAGAGCCCATAAATTTTCTCATAAACAAAAAAAAAGAAGCTAAAATTCAAATCTAACAATAACCCATCATTTTCCAGCCAACAAGAAGCTATCAAAATGAAAAGACAACTCCAACTTACACTAGAATGAAGAGATGTTCCCTAACACTTCTTGGATTGACACAAGCAAGTAAGAAGGATAGAAAATCAAGCCAAAATCCCATAGGATAATCAAAACTAGAGCAAAATACACATATCAAAATCAAGAACAGAACAAAATCTAATCCATAGAAAACATAGATAAGGATTAGGGGCTTATCGGAATGAGTAGCTCGGTGCTGGAAAAGATGAAATACACAAGAATCATTGCAAGTGAGAAAAAGGGTATAATCTGAGTTTTGTACTTAATGAAGAAACTAGAAACAAGAAAGAAGGTAGATGGGAGACCTCCTAAATGATTGACGAAGCAAATTTCAATGGCGGAGTGGCACCAATATGCGATGATCGGCGAAATGAGAGAGCTTGGGAGGTCGTTCACGATAAAAGGATGAGCAAGGGGCAAGAGAGGGATTTTACTTTAAGTCTGGCAAAAAAAAAAAAAAAATCCCATCCCAAGTTGTCTCCATGGGGGAGAAGGGATAATTTTTATCTCTAGGATTGGACAAAAAATAGGATACACCTTATCCAATCCACTAGCATCCCCAACATAGGATATTGGCTGGTCAAGACTAATTTTTATTCCATCCCATTAATAGTCTAGGGGTCCAGACGTGCTGTAAGATTCCAAAGGTGAAAACGATTATATTCCCCGTGCCCTTCATTGTGATCCATTCTTTATGAGCCTGATAGAAACTAACGCCTCCAAATTATGGATGAATGAATAAATTGGAGAAAAGATAATAACTCCCACAAGGAGAGAAAATTTTTTTTAAGAAAGAAACCTATAACCTCAAATTCTAAGCCTAGCAAGAGAGAGAGAGAGCAGCACAAGATTTTGCTTTGTTTTGTTTTGTTTTGTTTTGTTTTTTTTTAATTAATTGTTAGATAAAAATAAACAAGTAAGCTAAAATTATTGTATTAAATGAGTTTTTTTATAATCGTGAATGTATTAAGTGAAGCAACTAAATGAAACAAGAAAGTACCAATTGATGATCAATTAACATCAAATGCAATTCCTGTGTTTTATAGGCTCCTTTAATAATTGGGGGTGACATTCGATCCATGAATAATGAAACCTATCAAATAATCAGCAATAAGGATGTGATTGAAGTTAATCAAGGTATGGACCAAAACATTTTTGTTGTTAATATGTTATTGCTGAAGGGCAAGAGGCTTAATTTTATGCATTAAATTGACTAAACTAATACTGCCATATGATTATAGAGAAGCTAGGTGTTCAAGGTAAAAAGGTCGGCAAGGATGGAGATCTTGAGGTCAGTTTCTATATAACCTTGAATTACAAGTGCTTGATGGGAAAGCACTTTTTGGGCTCATGCATGTTGATAAAAATTAAAAATTGTAGGCATGGGCTGGTCCTCTTATTGAGAACAAGGTAGCAGTGATGCTATGGATCTGTTCTATCAAGGCAACAGATTTGTGGGAGGTGAGATTATCATATAATATATAATTATATATATTCTAATAAAAAAACGTGTTTTACAATTTAATAAGGTGTCGAATGTTAAAACACAAACCATCAAATGATGGCAGTTGATTGTGGGGCAAATCCCTATATTGAATGCTTATTAATTTGCAGTCTTGTTTAAATGTTTAATCTAAACTGCAAAGTAATAGGCTAATAATTTCAAACTACTTTTATTTGATATTATCAAATTGCAAAACATCAAGTATTAGATGGTGGAAGACTCTATTATTGTGGGGACAAGTTATTTTATATGATAGTTAATGTTTTGCAGTCTAATATGATTTTTAAATTGCAGAATGCTAGACTAATAATCTAAAGCTACTTTTGTTTAATGTATAAAGTTAAAATGATGGTGTCCTTTCAATTCACATTGGTGCAGCATTCAACTGAATACCAAATCAAGGGAAACATATCGGCTGATATGGGATCGCATGCCTCTAAAATGTATGTTTTATCCCCTCACTAGAAAATCACGAAGGGATGTATATTTACAAATGTAGGCATATGAAAGTATAATTTGTTATACGAGTATAGCAACTAAAAAAGCAGAGGCCTTGGAACCATTAGGTTTCACATTAAATTTCTGTACCGCCTATGCACTATGCTAGTTTCCTTGTAATTTATGATTGGATTATTTTTCAATGAAAAATAGAGATTTTATTAAAAAGTAAAGTGCAATCACATCAGAATCTTTGTATCATGATTGTTACACTCTAAAACTAAAATATAACTTATAATACTAGTTACAGATTAATTAAAAATATACTAATGAAAAATCTAAACAATTAAATATGTAGAGCTATTTGTAACTAAGGATTAAAAGCAATCGCTATCGGAACAAAGACAGCTATCTAAGTGGGAGAATTATCTATTGAGTTGTCAATACTACAAGAAAATCCTATTAAATTTGCTAGCTTTTAAGGAGAGTGAATAACCCAACAGGTAATAGTTCCCACCCA